CGCCGCGGCCGCTGCTGCGGGACCTCTTGCCGCTGTGGTGGCCGTGGGGGCCTGGGCTGCTCCGAGGCCCCCTTCGATGATCGGCAATTCCGCTCTTTTCGCATCTGCTGATCACTACTTGCTTTGGTTTTGAGGCAGGCCCCGCTGGAACTGCGGCGAGCTCTCGGAACGAGGGGGCCCAGGGCGCCATAAGCGCCTTCCTTGACCTTGGACGCGGGTGCCCCAGGGTAGATGTCGGCGGGCGCCCGGGCGTCGCAGGCCTCCAACTTTTTTGGGGGTTCCCGTGGTCCTCGCGGACCGATCCCGCGCGAAGCAGAGCGTCAGGAGGAGCACAAGAACTTGAAGGAGGATGATCACTTGAAGGAGGGGGAGGAGGAGGCCGCGCGGCCGAGGTGTCGACCCTCGAGTCTGTGCTGGACAAGACCAAGGCGCAGCTCGACGAGGCGCGGCAGGAGGACGGCCTGGGGGCGGCTCCAACAGGTGGAGTGATGAAGCAGGGAGTGGGATCGCCTAGGGCTCAGGAGTGCGGGGAAGTAGGAGTAGGAGTAGGAGTAGGAGTAGGAGTAGGAGTAGGAGTAGGAGTAGGAGTCAAGCTAGCCAGCTCGAGCGAGTCAAGCATGGCATGCCCAGTCCCACCCGCCCTCCCACAACATAAGAAGCGAAGCTGGCACAACTGGGGGCCGAAGTCACACCGGCCAGCCGGTTTGGTACAGCTGATGCGGCCGCGATGGCGGTTGCCGACGGGAACTGGCGAGCGCGTGTGGAATGCCGCGCACGCATTGCCAGACGAGTCGAGAATGGCCCGGTACACCGCAGGAAGCCAGAGGTGGCCGGAGGAAGCCCGACGGTCTGACAGGACACCCCAAAGCATTTTTGTGAAAAAACATTGGGTTTTTGATGTTTTTATGTTGAAATGCTTGCAAACACACGGTGTTCGGTAGGATTCTGACATGAACGCGCGAGTGTGCTCTTTGTTGTATTTTTTGCACAGGATTCGCGGCCTGGGTGCATGACAGAGCATCGCGAGTGCACCGCGCGATGACGTGAAATCGCTGGATTTGACAGAATTCTTAAGATTCCTATGGTTTTCCTATGATTTCAGCAAGAGAGCCCGGGCGGGAAATTTGTACAATTTTTGTGAAAAAGCATTGGGTTTTTGATGTTTTTATGTTGAAATGCTTGCAAACACACGGTGTTCGGTAGGATTCTGACATGAACGCGCGCGTGTGCTCTTTGTGGTATTTTTTGCAATGGATTATCGCCGTGGACGACAGGACGTCCATGTCGAGAGGAAAAAATAAGAAAAATGTTGATTTTGTATTGTTTTTTACAGGTTAGGATGGGACCACCCGGATGCGCCCGCTATCTGCCGGCCTGAGGGGGGAGTAGGAGTATATTCTAATAAGGAATAAGGATAGGAGTAGGAGTAGGAGTAGGAGGAGGAGAGGAGGAGGAGGAGGAGGAGGAGGAGGAGGAGGAGGAGGAGGAGGAGGAGGAGGAGGTGGATGAAGAGGAGAAGGATGAGGATAATGAGGAGGAGAATGCTGTTACCTCGTCGTCGTCGTCCTCTTCCCCCCACGGTGCAGGAGACCAGGGCCGCGGACACGGCCGCGAAGTACGAGGCCGACCTGAAGGCGGAGATCAAGAACCTCAAGAGGACGAAGCGCCCCGCGGTTCGGCGGCCGCTGGGCGCCCTCGGGGGCAGCAGGGGGGGAGAGGGCTGAGGTCGGGGAGAGCGGCGGGAGGAGGAGGAGGAGGAGGAGGAGGAGGAGGAGGAGGAGGAGGGAAGGAGGAGGAGGAGGAGGAGGAGGAGGGGGAGGAGGACCAGAGCAGGCCAAAAACGCATCATAGATACATATGTCATCCCGCCCCAGGTCCCGTCCTCAGCACCAACACTTTTTCTTCTCACCACAAGAAGCGCCCCACCTTGAAAGACCGACACAATTGGGCCTGTCACTTTGGCGAGCTCCGCTTTGAGAAGGGATTGACTTGCATCTTTCTGACGCGCAGTCAGGCTTGCTTAGCGCTCTCGTGTGTGGGGGCACTTTGCAGTGGCAGTGCGTATCATTTCACTGTGTTGGTTGAGGCGTGTTAACACACTAATGGGCTGTGCTCTATGTAAAAACCTATGTCACACGCAATCGGCTACCTAAACAATCGTGGTCGTCCATCTAGAGCGCGACGCATGTTGAAACTTCGGTTCTTCAGAATGAGCGAAGTGTTTTGCGACAAACCCCGTTTTCGAAACAACAGACACACAACGCTCCAAACGAATGTGCGCGGCGTTGAGGCGGGAGCCCCATTCTGAAAACGACCTGTGCTCCTTGAACCTGTTTCATTTTTGAGACGAATGCGCGCGGCGCAAGGCAAGAGCCCCACTTTTAAAAGGAACCGCCCCCCATTCTTGAATCTACGACAACATATTGAAGACGAATGCGCGCCGCGCTCAGGCGAGAGTACCACTTTGAACACGCCCCTCCCTATCATCCTTGAAACTGCTGCAGAGGTTTGAAGCGACGCTGCGCGGAGCTGAGGCGAGAGCTTCATTTTAAGAATTGCTCCCTCGATCCCTTTAGTTATTGCAGGCGTCTGCGTCAAATGTGCGCAGCTCCGAGGCAATAAGCACGCTTTGAAGGCGACCCCTTCCACCCTCGCGCGTGTTGCGCACCTCAACACCAGTGTGCGCGGAGCCAGAGCGGACGCCACGTTGTGAGTGAGAGCCGCCCTCCGTCCGTGGAGCGGCTGCATTTTTTTTTTCAGCATGAGGTGCGCGTCGCTCGGGCAAGAGCAGCACGTCGAGCACGACCTGTGCTCCTTGTGCCGGTTGTAATTTTTTTGTTGAAACGGTTGGGCGTTGCGTAATGGGGGGGTCATAAATGGGGGGGCGGCGAGTGTGGTCCGAAAAGGTACCCAAACGGTACCTAAACGAGCCCCCTGGGGCTCCGGAGGGGCCCGAAAGGGGCACGAAAGGGGACCGTTTCTGACCCCCCCATTTGTGACCCCCCCATTAAGCCACGCCCAAAACGGATCTGCACGGCGCTGAGGCAAGCGCCCCACTTTGAAAAGGGACCGCCCTCCACCGTGAAACTACCACAGCACATCAAGGACGACGGTGCGCCGCGCTCGGGCGAGATCTCACCGTGTTGTGAGCGGCCTTGCCTGTCATCCTTGAGCAGTCGCAAGCGTCTCAGACGACTGTGCGCGGCGTTGAGGCGAGAGCCCCATGTTTAACACGACCTGTGCTCCGTGAACCTGTTTCATGCGCGGCGCTTGGGCAAGAGCCCCACTTTCAAAAGGAACCGCCCCCATCCTTGAAGCGACCATGTTCAAGACGACTGTGCGCGGTGCTCCGGCAAGGACACCACTTCGAGCACGTCCCTCCGTATCACTTTTGAAACCGTTGCAAGCTTTTAAGACGACTGTGCGCGGAGCTGCGGCGAGAGCCTCATTCGAAGATTTTCCCTTTTCGATCCCTTCAATTGTTGCCAGCGTTTGCGTCAAATGCGCGCAGCGCCGCGGCGAGAGACACGTTTTGAAGACGACCCCTTTCCATCCTTGAAACTGTTGTACACTTCAAGGCGAGTGTGCGCGGCGCTAGGGCGAGCGCCACGTTGTACACCAAGAGCCGCCCTCCATCTTTGAAGCGGCTGCCAGCTGTTAAGACGAATGTGCGTAGCGCTCAGGCGAGAGCGCCGTTTTGAAAACGACCTGCGCTCCATTCTTGAAGCTGTTGCGCGCTTTTACAGCGAATGCGCGCGGCGCCAAGGCGAGGGCAATATTTTGAAACCACCTGGGCCCCATCCTTGAACCGGTTGCACACCTTTAAGACGGATGTGCGCCCCGCTTCACCCTTGCCACCGTTGCAAATTTCATATTTCAGTATCATGAAGGGTGGGTGGGGGTCTTAGGTTAGACGCCCAGCCCGCCCCATCGACACGTCTGGGGGTGCGACAGGGAGTTCTTCTCGAGTGTTCTTGTATCAGACCCACCGATATTCGAATATTGGGTCCTGGGTGCCACCCCAGGCCTTCTTTGACCCCCATGGGTGGACAACCCTAGTGGCCGCCAAGACGGCCCAGGAGGGCTCAGAATCACCAGACGATCAATACAAGCCCCCAAGATGGCCCCACGACAACCCAGCACAATAGCAAACGCCCCAACTGAGCCCCAAGTGCCTTGCCACGAGGGCTCCGAAGAGGCAACCATCGTTGATTTTCCAAGTTCTTGTGTATATATATATATATAGATATATAGATGTATAAGTACGTGTGTATATATGCATGTATGTACGTATGTACGTATGTACGTATGTACGTATGTATGTACGTATGTATGTATGAATGTAGGTATGCCTATATGCCTGTATGTATGTTTGTATGTGTGCCTGTATACATGTATGCATAGCTTTATGTATGCATGTATGTGTATGTGTATGTGTATGTGTAGGTGTACGTGTATGTGTATGTGTATGTGTATGTGTATGTGCATGTGTATGTGCATGTGTATGTGTATGTGTACGTGTATGTGTATGTGTATGTGTACGTGTATGTGTGTATGCGCATGTGTAGGTGCATGTGTATATGTATGTGTAGGTGTAGGTGTATGTGTTTGCGTATGTCTGTTTATATGTATGTATATATGTAGATATGCATGTCTGTCTGTCTGTCGGTCTGTCTGTCTGTCTGTCTGTATGTATGTATGTATGTGTGTATGAATGAATGAATGAATGAATGTATGTGTGTATATATGTATATGTATATATATATACATGTATGTTGGCAGTTTTCTTTTTCCCGACACCCATGCGCTCCGAGGCAGCCCAAGAGGCTTCCAAGACCCGCGCAAGACGGCCCTGGAAGCCCCCGGGACCGTTCCAAGACGGCCCAAGAGGCGCCCGAGACTTCCCAAGAGCTCCCCAAGACGGTCCAGAGAGGGGTCCAAGAGGGGAAAGACGAACCGATAATTCCGATCTTCCGCCTCAAGAGGCCCCTGCGAGGTCCCACGAGACCCACAGAGGGCCCAAGAGTTATCCAATAGGCCCCCAAAATACCCCACGACCCCCAAGGCCCAAGAGGCACCAAGACGTCCCCCTCAAAACGGGGGCGGGGTGGCGGGCGGATTGGCGGCGGCGGCCTTGGGTGGAGGCGTCGCAGACTCGACGCAAGAATCGTTGGGCCTTCACATCAAAATTTCTTCCAATCTACTGCTCTCGCCTTCTCTCCCTTTCTAGCTGCTTCCCGTTATCTTCACTGCTTCTTTTTTTTCTTCATCGTATCTATTCTTGCTTGGCTTCTCTGTTCCCCTCCTTGCTCTTTTCCCGATGCTTTTTTGTTTGCGCTCTCTCTCTCTCTCTCTTTCTCTCTCTCCTCCCCGGGTCTTCTCCTCTCACCCCCTCTCCCGTTCTAGCTGCTCTCCGTACTCCTCTCTGCGCTTCTTCCTATGCCCTGGCCTCCCCCCTTGCTTCGAGGCCCATGGGCCCTATGGGTGCTACGCGCCCTATGAGCCCTATGGCCCCTCCGAGCCCTATGAGCCCCATGTGCCCTACGAGCCGCATGGCCCTGTATGAGCGATATCCGACCATTGCCACATGAGCCCCGTGAGCCGCATGAGCCCGATGGGCCCCACGGGCAGCTTGAGCCCTAGGAGCCCTAGGAGCCCCGTGGGGCCTACTGCCCCATGAGCCGCATGAGCCCCATGACTTATGACCCTATGAGCTCTACAAGCTTCGTGCTTCAAGCAACCCCATGGCCCTTGTGGCCATCCTGGCCCAGACGAGCCACGACTACATATCTTACAGAGAGCCCGTAGAAACCGCAACGCCCGTGAATCCAGATGGGCCCCATTCGGCTCACGAGCCATATGAGCCTGAACCTCACGACCCCGTCGGCATTTCGACGCCCAGACCCAGAACACAATTTGGCCAGCGAGCCCTGTGACTTAAAAGCGTTTCGCCAGCATTATGGCCCCCGTGGCCGAATTCGATCTACGAGTCCCTGAGCCCACATGGCGCTTGAGAATCAGGTGAGCCCTACCAGGCACTGAGTCCCATCAGTCCCATAAGCCCCATGAGCTTCATAAGCTCCAGTGCCAAAGCGCACCGCGGCGCTGGCGACTAACGATCGTGGCGCGCCTTTCTGGCGCCATGCGGCTAACATTTTAAAGGCGAAGCGGAGCGAGCTGGAACAATTTTGTATGTATACCTATGCTTATTTATACAAGGATAAGGGATTGGCGATGCTGATGATGCTGCTGATGATGCTGCTGATGATGTTGATGATGCTGATGACGATGATGATGATTGTGATGACGAGGATGATGATGCCGATTACGCTGATGATGATGGTGATGATGGTGATGATGATGATGGTGGTGGTGATGATGATACTGAGACGATTCTGAGGACACTGATAATGAGGATGATGCTGAGGATGACGATGATGATTATGCTGGTGATGATGATGATGATGATGGTCGTGGTGATGACGATGATGACGATGACGATGACGATACTCATGGCGATGCTGATTCTGCTGATGACGATGACGATGGTGACGATGATGATTATGACGAGGATGACGACGTCGGTGATGATGCTGATGCTGCTGCTGATGATGCTGATGATGATGATGATGATGATGATGATGATGATGACGGTGACGATGATGATTATGACGAAGATGGCGACGCCGATGATGATGCTGATGCTGATGCGGATGATGATGATTTTGTTGATGATGATTGTGATGATCATGATGCTGATGATGATGATGCTGATGATGATGATGATGATGAGGAGGATGATGAATATGAGGATGGTGGGGATGTTGGTGCTGAGGATAATGATGATGCTGATGCTGGTGACGAAGAAGAATAACAATGAGAAAACGAATAGCAATCATAAGACGAATCGTAATCATAAAAATATTAATCATACGAAGTACATTACTAATGACGCGAATAACATGAGCAGACTAAACTAATCCGAACAATGATATGACAATAACAATGAGAACCTTAATCATGATAATAAGCATGATCCTACTAGTCATATCCTACGAATAATAATACGAAACTAATAAGAAAACTAAGGCGAATTTAGCTATCATATCAAACAAGAGCGAATTACTAATCATATTCAGAGAATGGAGACGTGGAGGAGGAGGCGGAGGAGGAGGAGGAGGACGAGGATGAGGACCAGGATGAGGGTGAGGAGGAGGTGGAGGAGGAGGAGGAGGAAGAGGAGGAGTAGGAGGAGTAGGAGGAGGAGGAGGAGGAGGAGGAGGAGGAGGAGGAGGAGGAGGAGAGACAGCAAGCGAGGGAACATGGAGGCGACTGCGCCGGAGTTTTCGGTGGCCGCCGCGCTGCGCCCCTTTGGACGACTCGGGCCCAACTGTTTCGGCATGCCGAAGTGGTCATCGACGGAGGCGGAGCTTCAATCCGAGCCGCGTGTGCGGGAGGCGTGGCGGCGCTGCCGGTGCCTTGGCGGCCTGGCCAGGAAGG